CCCATGGCAAAAAGTTAGTCTAGAGCCCTGCATCCAGAAACATCAACAGACCTTCATTTGTTCCACATTCTGTCAGGTTACAGTCTTTATTTATTTAAAGATGGACACGTACGGAGACATCCTCGATGATAACCTGCTCCATAGCGCTCTGGACCTTCAGTTTCATCTTCCAGCAGAACAGACCCTGAGCACACAGTGCAAATACCAAAGGGACCACTGTGAATGTTCTGGCCCAGCCAGAGCCCAGACTTGAACCCGATTCAGCATCTCCGTAGAGATCTGACGATGACTGTGCACAGACACTCCCCATCTAGCCTGGTGGTTCTGGCTCTGCAAAGCTGAATGGGAGAAACTGCTATTCACCAGTGCTGGGGGTGATGGTGTAGGATGGGTAAACTAGCAGGAGACAAAGGAAGTCTCACTGTGTCAAAGTCCATGAGAGAAGGATCTGTGAGCTCAGGGGAACCTTCCTGATATCTTTATTGTTAAATAAAGTGAAAACAGTCTGATGTTTGTTTTTTGAGTAATGGTCCCCATTGGTGACCAGAGAGACAATTAAAGCAAGGCATGCTTTATAGGGCACACCTTGTGCAGTCCAGTCAGAACGTGTGTGCACGTATGACAGACATACTGGTGGCCCCCAGTACCTGTCAGCCTCCCAGTTTGATACAGCCATGGTATGAATCGCTGCATTCCCAAGAACTTCAGGAACTTTACCTCTGACCTTGATGTCGAGGTCACTGGGATTCAAACTTGTCTAAGATTGGTAGTACGTCTGTAGCAGGGGTGACAACAATACCCTATCAGTGTTTTACGGCTGAAAATAAAATGGTAGGACCGGCCGCAGAGAGAACGCAAAGGTCAAGACTTTGTGGTGGCTACGTCCATTTCACAGCAGGACACATCCCACACACGAGTCATTTGGTCATGTTCCTGTATACAGATGTGCCGGTCTCAACATGTCTGCAGGTGGCTACAGCAGGTTTATCAGAGTGTTTATAGTGAAGCTTTCTGCTCTGTGTGACAGCAGAGCTGACGAGAGACGAGTCTGAAAGCCACAGAACCAAAAACAAAAAGAAACCAGGAGGTAAGAGGCTTAAAAGCTGTCACACTGAGGGAGGTGCAGGATCCGGTGATAATTCTGTGTGACTTTGTCTCCATAGGAAACTCCTTTCACATGGTGCTGTTTGTTCATATAAACATGTGGAGGACTGCAGCGTCGACGCTTGGGTGAAGGCTTTACATCAACGCATTCACAGAAACTGTTGTTATTTTAAGTGATTTGGACAATTTTCATCCAGTTTTCTTCTGAAATTCTAATGTAACTGAACACTTGAGAGGCCTAGTTTCTCAAAAACACACCCACACACACACACACAGCAAGTGCCAAACTGCCCAGAACCCTTTCAAAACAGCAGTAGATTTGTTAAATCCCCTGAGGCACTGAGCTTTAAGCCCATTAAATGAAAATATTAATATTTTCTGGCAGGTTCCTCATAAAGTAAATTATTAGGACGCTTGCTGGTGCCAAACACCAGAGAGGACATGCAGCGCGCATGTGTGTGCGCGCACACGTCTACCTCCCACTGCGTGTGCTTTGTGTTCTCGTCACATCAAGTGTTCGAATTGAGCTGAAAATATTCAGTTCAACAGCAAAGCTCTGGATAAATGTTTGAATGCTTCTATAAGTGCTGATGCAACCGCAGCACCAATGTCTTCTTTGTTATGTCAGTATTTATAGGTCATCACAATGTTGTTGCCGTGCAGATGCAAAGTAAACACAGTTGAGACAGAGGCTGAGATTAGAACTGTTTACAAAATATTTACACAACAGTTTTACTTCAGTTTGTTATGTCTCGATGCTCAATCATCCAGGTAAGTAAATCAATGTGCTGTTTATAAGACTGAAGCCTGCAGTCAGCTGAGACTGAAGAAGTCACCTGATGATGACGAAACGTTTCTCCCACAAAACGCTTCGTCCAGATGAACTGAATCACCGTTTGGAGATTCAGTTTGGAGAGTTTATATATAAATTAAATAATACAAATAAAGCGTTTGGTGCTTTGAAAAGGAGGCTGAAAGGACTCCGTGAACATGTGTGCGTCGTTGCTGCGTGTGTTCACCAAACTTTGGACAAATGATGGATATCAGCTCATCCAAACACGAGCGAGCGACTGACGTCATCGATCACAGGAAACCAGCAAACAAAAAGAACAATTATGATTAGATAAAAATAAACTAACTATCGTGCACATCTGTGATCATGTTTTGTAGAAGAGCCTTTTGGCTTGCTCTCATTGGTTCCAGCATTAGGACTGAGTTTTAAGGTTAAATGGTTATGATGAGGCAGTTTGCTCCGTGTCCTCACAAAGGCAGCGAAACAAACACCAGACAGCCCACGACGAGCGCTGCGAAGATTAGTCTACACGATCGATGACATCGACTGTAAACTATAAGACTCACTGACATCAGAATTTTGTCACATACTGAGAGAGTTTATATGCAA